TTGCTGAAGTCCAGGGGGTTCGGGCATTTTTCTGGCCATTTGTGGTGTCTCCCATAGACTCACAGTCCACACGATGTTCACAGGGCTGGATGTGGCCGCGGTGAGGTGGAGAGGGCTCTTGCACTCTCCCGTTGGGTAGCTTTGAATATATCCTGCTGAGGGGTGGCAATGGGGACCCTGTCAGTCCTGTGCGTCCCCTTCGCCACCCTGGTACAGGCTATGGGTGACTGCTCATTGTCGACACCTACGATACCATGTCCTCTGCCCCGATGAAGCACATCACTTGTGCCAAGGACCTCATGATGCCATGTTCAGAACCAGCGGTGGCCCAGGTAACAGCATGTGACATCCCCCCTCCTGCTTTCACAGTCCTCCTGGGGTGCAAAAAGCCCACTGGGCTTTCCAGAGATGTTCATGGGGACAGGGGCAAGAGGAGACAAGCACGGAGGGCGTTACAGCTTCAAGGAGCCCTTTGTTTATTCTGGACTCTTGGCATCTCTGCTTTGCTTTACGATGTGCAAGTGGGAAGACCTCGCCACCTCCTGTCTAATCCTGGAGCCCTGTTTTAGGGCTGGTCCTAATCTCTGAAAGCCTCCAGGATTTGCCCCAGCTGTCGGAGGCATCTTCTGTCTTCCCGCACTGACACATCAGCTGTCATATTGCGGAACAGCGCTGCCGAGGCTTTCCCCTGTCCCACTCGACAGGTCCTTGATGATGCCATTTCCTAAACTGGCCAATCTGGGTGAATGGGTAGGACTGATACCTCTGGGGTACAGCCAGATTTATCTCTTTGCAATGCGGTCCTGTCAATAAATTGAGCTGAAGGATGACCATGATGCGTCCTTTGTGGGGGGTTGGACAACAGTGGCATGAGGATGACCCCACCTGCAGTACTGTGTCCAGCTCCGGGGCACTCAGCATAGGAAGGACACGGAGCTGTTGGAGAGGGTCCAGAGGAGGCCATGAAGATGCTCCGAGGGCTGGAGCACCTCTGCTATGGAGACAGGCTGAGAGAGTTGGGGCTGTTCAGCCTGGAGAAGAGAAGGTTCCAGGGAGACCTTCCAGCACGTTCCAGTACCTAAAGGGGCTACAAGAAAGCTGGAGAGGGGCTTTGGACAAGGGTGTGGAGTGACAGGACACGAGGCAATGGCTTTAAACTGGAAGAGGGGAGATTTACATTGGATATAAGGAAGAAATTCTTCCCTCTGAGGGTGGTGAGGCACTGGAGCAGGTTGCCCAGAGAAGCTGTGGCTGCCCCATCCCTGGGAGGGT